ATAAGAATGCTAATTGGGCTTGGGAGTGCCTGGGTTAAACTGGGCGGGAACGAGCGAATCCCTGACCCCGCCCACCTCATTACTATGCAAATCTATGCAAACGAGACGCAGAACCAACCGAGCCAGTTTCGTTCTCTCCTTTATTAATTAACCACAATTAATTAATTATTCGCGCCCCTCCCCCCCCCCGGGGGCGGGGCCTGCGCTCGGCCCCTCCCCCCCCTCCCGGCCTGCGGGAAAAGCCCCAAAAATCCCCGAAATTCCCCCAAAAAAACGACCCCAAAAACCCCAAAATTTACACGGAAAAAAAGAGAAGCCACGCCCCTCCGCCTCATTTGCATAACCCGCTGCCGTCGGCCAATCGGCGTCGGGAAGGGGCGGGGCCCGGCCCGCAGCACCAATCGATGAGGAAAGGGGCGTGGCCATGCAAATGAGGCCTGGCCAGGTGAGCCTGGGGGGGGTGTCTATGCAAATTGGGAGTTTCAAGGGCGTGTCTATGCAAATTGGGACTGTCTATGCAAATTAGGCCTGTCCAGGTGAGTCTGGGTGTGTGCCTATGCAAATTGGACGTGTCTATGCAAATTGGGATGTCCAGGTAAGTCTGGGGGCGTGTCTATGCAAATGAGGAGTGTCCAGGTGAGATTGGGGCGTGTCTATGCAAATTAGGAGTGTTCTGAGCGTGTCTATGCAAATTGGGAGTGTTGAGGGCGTGTCTATGCAAATTGGGATGTCTAGGTGAGTCTGGGGGCGTGTCTATGCAAATTGGGCATGTCAGGGGCGTGTCTATGCAAATTAGGAGTGTCCATTTGAGCCTGGCGGCGTGTCCATGCTAATTGGGAGTGTCGGGGGCGTGTCTATGCAAATTGGGCGTGACCATTGGCAAAGGGGCGTGTCTATGCAAATGGGCACGTCCATGTAAGTCAGGTGGGTGTGTCTATGCAAATTGAGCGTGTCCATTGACAAAGGGGCGTGTCCAGGTGAGTCAGGTGGGCGTGTCTATGCAAATGAGGGTGTCCATTGGCAAATGGGCGTGTCCAGGTGAGTCAGGTGGGCGTGTCTATGCAAATGGGGTGTCCATTGACAAAGGGGCGTGTCCAGGTGAGTCAGGTGGGCGTGTCTATGCAAATGAGGGTGTCCATTGACAAAGGGGCGTGTCCATGTGAGTCAGGTGGGCGTGTCTATGCAAATGGGGTGTCCATTGACAAAGGGTTTATCCAATGACAAAGGGGCGTGTCCAGGTGAGTCAGGTGGGCGTGTCTATGCAAATGGGGTGTCCATTGACAAAGGGTTTGTCCAATGGCAGAAGGGGCGTGTCCAATGACAAAAGGGGCGTGTCCAAGGACAGAAAGGGGCGTGTCCATGTAGAGTGGGCGTGTCCAATGACAAAAGGGGCGTGTCCATTGACAAAGGGGCGTGTCCATTGACAAAAGGGGCGTGTCCATTGACAAAAGGGGCGTGTCCATTGACAAAGGGGGCGCGTCCAATGACAGAAAGGGGCGTGTCCATGTAAAGTGGGCGTGTCCATTGACAAAAGGGGCGTGTCCATTTACAAAGGGGCGTGTCCATTAACAAAGGGGCGTGTCCATGTAGAGTGGGCGTGTCCATGTAGAGTGGGTGTGTCCATTGATAGAAGGGGCGTGTCCATGTAAAGTGGGCGTGTCCATTGACAAAAGGGGCGTGTCCATTAACAAAGGGGCGTGTCCATGTAGAGTGGGCGTGTCCATTGACAAA